AATGAAACCATTATAAGAGGTAATGTAACTCGTAAATTATCTACCATAAGTACCATGTCGCCCCAAACTCGTATAAGCGCCCATACAAGTGGTACACCAGAGACGACTATCACAGTAATGAAAATAAAGCCTACGCGAATATTGGACCACAATTTTTTCTTAGAAACTTCATCGGCTGTAGGCCATAAACCGATCAATTCCAAACACAAACGATGTAATTCAACTGCCCATACGAAATCTGACAATTTTTTGTACGGAGAGAATAAAAGATTTAAATAAAATAATCTAACAAATTAATAAATTATAATTATTAAAAGATTAATCGTAAGGTAGCAATAATACGTGATGATAAAAATGAATTTACGATGCAAAATAATAATTTATTTATTAGATATATCGAACACGCTTAATTAACAAAAAATACAGGGTATAGGATTCGTACCTTTATAACCCGAAGACTCCGTGTCCATGTCGAAGACTAACATGAAGATGATCGTCCCGTTCTTCCTCCCTATATAATGTAAAGCGATCATCGCGCATGCTCTCCAATGGAGAGTCTCCATACAAAGTACAAAAACTCGGCAGCCTCGTCAGGCGCATTAAATATTAAAAATGCTATCCCCAGTTGATTATAGCTGTTGGTAGTGCAAAAAAGAACTCTACAAGCATATAACAGATCATAAAAATTGTTTACGTCTGGTCTCATAAAAGAAGAGATGAAAATATTGCGTCGCAGTATATTAAAAGTTTGGCGAATGTTCGTTTACAAAGTTTTTTCGTATTTTGTTTCATTATATATGCGTTTACTTCGAAATGAAAAATAGCGTAATCGCATTTTCAATGGGATTCTATATATCGAATAAGAATCCATAAGAACTCCGAAACGTTGTGATAAAGAAATAAGAAAACATGATATTGCGTGGCATTATACATACCTTTTGAACGTCTTTTGAAAAGTCAGATGCGTCCGTCATAACACACATGAATGAACGCGTTATTATCTCTATCAAGCGGATCATAATATTTCAGAATTATTTATTGTTTATACATATCTTTTAGTGGAACGTCGGTTATGAATAGCTATAACAGCATAAAACTCCGACTTTATAATGTACTGCAATGTTACAACTCAATGACGTGGTTTTCAAAAGTGCGACAACATTCTTGCTACGAAATAATTAAACATCTTCGCGTGTTTCCGTGTCTCAAAGATAAGACAGCCGGTCCACTTCGAATCTTTTCGCAAAAGTAGAAGTGGTAAAACTCTCACAGTTGTATCAACATGTATGTTATTCATCTTCTCACATCGATTCGATAAAACTCGGCAACAAAATTAACAAAAAATAATTGCTGAAATCATTATCATTAAAGATAATTTTATTGAGAAATAACATACACTACAGAAGATTTTAAACTAACGATTTATATTTTTTTAAACATATACAAAAGTTTAATCTCTATTGAATTAATCCTGTGACACGAACAGTGATATATCGCCATGTCACAAAATATTTAATAATATAATTTCCAATCGATAGCAAACACATAAAACATAAAGTTTATTTCTATCGTAACAATTAATTGTCTAGAACTTGTAATTATATAATTGGCAAACGTATTCATTTCTTTCGTAAATAATAAATATTAATGTATTATCGCGGTCTTCAGCCTAAGTATTAAACGTGTGCCGCTTTCATCCTCAGTTGATTATCTGTTAATATCATAAGAAAAAACTTTACAAGTGTATAGTAAGTCATGAAAACGTTCATGTCTGATCTAATAAGACAAGAAATGGAAAATATTGCATCGCAATATATCTTAAGTTTGCCTAATATTTACCTAAAAAGTTTTTTTGTATTGCTTTATTGTGTATGCGTTTACTTCGATATAAAAAATGACGTAATTGTATTTTTAATAGGGTTCTATATACTCGCAATTATTTAACTGCAAACACATCCACTACTTTCGTAAATAAATATTAAATCATATATCATCACGATCTTCAACCATGTTTTGTTAGTAAGAAAGATATATAGCCACACGATGTTTTCAATATCTAAAAACAATTATCTTTATTTAGAGAAATTACTTAGAGAAAGTTAAGGAAAATTTTTATATTTAAAGATATCAAAAGATGTTGGCTAAAATGCCTTAAAAAATATTTCGTCAATTACTTTGACTTTCATGTATATATACATGTATATTATAGAGATTAGAATATTGATGTTTATCGTTTATATTTGAGATTCAACTAATAAATAAAATTGTCATTAAAAAGTTACACAAATATATGTATTACGTATACATAATTATACGTGTAATAAACACAAATAAGTTGCATTATATAAGTTAATGTTTTCTGCAAAAGTTTAAAATTAAAATATGAAAATTCTAAATAATCTTACGCTGCAAAAAGTAGCCATTGTTAATGGAATAATCTTTCCTGCAGAGATGGGAAAAGGATGGTTGGCTCGTATCATTAATAAGATAAGATTTCTCGCCTTTCTAGATTCCAATTTGTACCATTCAAGATTGCACATACCACGATGTACTGCGTTGCACTTGATAAATACATGTGTCAGAACATATTAATGTCTATGTCATTTCAAAGTAGATGACTTCTATTAAGAAACATTAATAAGGATTTGTAAATTTTAATTAATTTTTATTTTGATTAGAAAAGAATTTAGAACAGCAAGTTCATGTAATCGGAACAAATTCACATTTTAATTAATGTTGTTACAGAAATTTTTTTATTATATAAAACAAATGTTCAGTATTTTTCTTATAATAATATGATATCAAATTTGATAACAAATGGCAACATAACTATAACGAGTAAAATGGTTTCAGTAATTTCTAAAAATATTCTAATATATGGACATGTTTTTTCCATCATGACTAAAACATTAAATTTATAATACATATTTAGAAATTTTATTATGTAACTTACTTGTTCCATTACCAGTTCTCCCGCACCACAATAGAAAAAAGTATTCATCAATAGAATAATAATAAAAAATATTGAGTGAAATATTTGTATAATAATAGCTTCATTAATTTTTCTCTCATTAAGTATCTGAAATGTATAAATTATAAGAAAATGAAGAAGCGTATACATATGCATTAAAATATTTTCTTACATTTTTGTTTTACTTACAATAGTAAATAGAAAGCCGCTTAAACAAAATACAACAGCAAAATGAAATATCATTATTAACATCATTAAACAGTATGTATTTTCGATATAGTTGGCAAATCTGCGGAAAAAATATTTAAAAAGTTGAGATGCATTGACAAATTTTTAAAATTTAGATTTTTTTCTGTTGTAATAAATGTTTCAATAACATTGCTAAAGTTATTTTGTGCAAAATTTCATTATTATAATAAAAGTTCTTACTTGATAAGACGTAAATGGAACACTACAATGTCATTTAAACTTTTGTTGAAATTTTTGCATGAGACCAAACTAATTAGTCGATATCTAAAATTCTCTAGCTGGCCGCAAATATGAAGAATAATTAGTAATAAAAAGATATCTACAGCCATATAAGTGGTACTCGATAACAACATTGTTAAAACATGAAAGAAAAATGTCAACTCAAACTGCGGGCTCTTATCTGTATCGTAAAAATGATACGTCTCCAGTGGTAAGGGTTTGCTCTGCTTCGTCAAATTCCCTATGTGTAATACTTGAATGCCAAAATAAGTAGGCACAGTTATTATGAGAAGCGAGATTAGGATAAAAGCATATCCAATGATCATGATTAATCGAGCAGTTCGTGCTCGCCTTATCATCACAGCTCTCTCTGCATCCGATTTGAATGCCATCCAATCTTCCGCCATCATATTTACAATCGATAAAAGAACTTGAAAATATACATAAAGCTATATGTTAATATGTCAAAATATTAAACTACTTATACAAGCATTATTATAAAGATATTATATGAGTAGATATTATGTGAAGTATTTATGAGTGTGTTATTTGTAAACTCCCTAACTAAAAAAACTACATATTTTTAAAGTATTGATATATATTGTTATATATTTCGATGCATATTGCTTTACAGGAATAACTGACAAATAATTCTTGATTTGTGACATTATTACTATTCGGAATATATGTTTGTGATAATAAATTAATTATAACATAACGATTCACGGAGTAATGAAATGAAATAAAATGTTGAAAATTTTAAATAATTCTAGACATACCTGTTCGTTTCCATCGCATAATGACATATTTCACTGATGCTATCAGCAGAGGTAACATAAGACGTAAATTGTCGATTACAAGTACCATATCGCCCCAAACTTTTATAATGGTACATATCGTCGGAACATTACAAACAAATATTAATAAAATTAAAATAATGCTTGCATGAAGTTCTGACCATAAACTTCTTACAGAAACCATAACATCTTTAGGCCACAAGCCCAACATTTCCAAACTTAAGCGATGTATTTCAACTGCCCACATGAAATCTAACAAAATTTTATATAAAACAAAGGATTTGCATAAAATAATTACAAATTAATATGTAGATTTAAAAGATTAATCGCAACAAATAGTAATAAAAATACGATGCAAAGGATAAATTCATAAAGCAAAATTATACTAACTTATTGAATAGACATGTAGAATACGAATAATAAGTAATAAAAATGTCATACACAATTAGTACCTCTATAACCAGAAGATTCCTTAATATCCATGAGAACTAATGAAAAAGACTGTCGCGTTCCTCCCACTATGTAGCGTGAAATAAACGCGCATGCTCTCCATAGAAGAGCTAAAACCCAGCAGTTTCGTCAAACGCTGCATTAAATATTAAAAATGCTATCCCTATATAGTCGATTATGACTGTTCATATCGCCAAGAAACTTTACACGTGAACAATAAGTTTATGTCTAGTCTAGTAAGAGGAGAGGTAGAAAATATTTCATCGCGGTATATTATAAGTTTATCGAACTTGCCTGGAAATTTTTTTCATACTTTGCGTTGTTTCATTATGTATGCGCTTACTCCAGAAATAAGAAATAACGCCATTTCTCACTTTTAATAGGATTCTATACATCAGACTCCAGAATACAGAAACATTGTAGCCAAAAAGAAATAACAATTGCGTGGTGTATGGACTTTTCGAATATTTCTTCTCAAGCTACATCTATTATAACACAGACAAATACAATACTATATCTAGTGAGTAGACCAAAGTATGTATTTTCCGATTATTTATTTTCCATACAATTCCTTTGATAAAATTACGATATCTTAAAGAATATAAAACTTCAACTTTCTAAGATATGGCGGTTTTTATTCGGCAATATTTTCGCAACAAGATAAACGATGTGTTCTGTTCTTTGAAAATAAGTCTGCCACTCAAATCTTGAAATTGGAACAGATAGGATAAATCCTATCGATGTAATAAAGTAGATATATCAGTAAATAGATAGTGAGTAGACAGTAAAAGGTAGATAGATTCATTTAACCGTATTAATTTACTAAAATGCAAGTAACATAATATGGATAAAACCTTATTAATGTGAATATAATGTTATTGAGAGACATATATAGTAAAGGCAATTTTAAACTATAGACTTGTCTTTTCTTTGAACGTAATATATAAACGTCAAGTCTCCATTAAAAGTATTCTAGTGACAAACAATGAAAATATTGTCACATTATAAAAACATAATATAATTTATAATACATAAAGAACTTTAATAAATAAAACAAAGCTTTATTTCTTCTAACAATTACTATGTACAATTGTCATTTATTTGTATCTATTATTAACTACAAATACATCTATAAGTTCTTTCACGTAATAAATAGTACATTTATCTTTAATTATGTTTTCTTAGTAAAAACGATATATATCCACTCGAAGTTTTCAATAGCTAAAAAAATTATATATTTATAAAATTAATTATATCTTTATTTAGACATTACAAGAAGACAAAAAAAATTTTATAAAAATAATATGAGCTAAAGTGCCTTAAAGAATACGTTGCCGATTACATTGATTTTTATGTACAGCTGTCATAAAGATTAAGATAGTGACTGACCATGATTCCTTTACTTTGATACATAATGATTCTAAATAAACTTACGCTGCAAAACGTAGCCAGTGTTAATGGAATAACTTTTCCTGCAGTGACACGAAAAGGATGGTTGGTTCGTATCATTAACAAAATAAGATTTCTCGCCTTTCTTGATTCCAATTTATACCATTCAAGATCGCACAGAGCACGATGTACTGAATTGCTCTTAACAGATACATATAATGTAATAGTACATTATAATAATGTCATGTCATTCAAAGAAGATTATTTCCAAAAATATATCTAAAAATTAAGTCGGGCTCAACTCACTTATGTGATCAGATTTGATCAAAAGGAAAACGAGAAGCTCATTTAACTTAATTGCATTTTATTTAATGTTAATTAAATTTGCATTTTACTTAATGTTAATAGAGGGATGATCTTTTGTAAAACATATATGTACACAAAAAAATAATTTTTAACAGTTTTTCCTATCCGACAACAATAGCCAACATATGTAACAATGACGAGGACAGATTTTTTATTATAATATGTTTAAAAATATATTGACGTATTAAAGTTATACAGCTACAAGTTATACAATATATTAAGCGTATATTACATTTGTACATACAAGGTGTCTAATAGACGTAATACTATAAATAATTATAAATGCACGCGCGTGCATACAACAAACACATATACATATTGTATAACTTACTTGCTCCGTTATAAGCTCTCCTGCGCCACAATAAAGAAAAGTATTCATCAACAAAGAAATAAGAAAAATTGTCGTATAGTACATTTCTGTAACAGTAACTTTATCTGTTTTTTTGTTAATAAGAAACTGAAATGCATAACTTATAAAAATATAAGGAAACGTACATATGTATCTATTAAAATATTTTTTCATATTTGGAACTTACAACAGTCAATAAAAAGCCGTTTAGACAAAATACAATACCAAAATAAAGTATCATTATTAACATCATTAAAGAGTACATATTATCAATATTTTCAGCAAATCTATAGAAATAAGAATATTTGAAAGAATTTTCACATTAAAATTAAGAAAAGTATATGTATACATATAGAAATATACAAGATGTATGTAAAATATAAGGAACATTTTCGATAATGTATTTTTGACATCCAAATCAGAAAATGAGTTTCTACAAACATATGTTTGAAAATGCTTTATTTATGAATTATTTGTTTGTACGCGCTTTTAAAAAAAAACTAATGTTTTAAGTTTTCATATTTCATACATGTTCTAAGTTAAATTATGTATTTATATGTCTTTTTATGAATATTGAATATTTTATTGACATTGAAAAAAGCATATACTTTTCTTAAAGAGAAAAGAAGAATAAACGAAAACAATGCATAAGTTGTTAGTGTTTGTAATTTAAATAATAGTCATTCTCGAAAAAAAAAGAGAATTAGCTTTCTTCTATAATTCCTATAGATTATCAAAATATCAAAACAACATTGGTCTCATCAGTTTTAGAAAAATAAATTAAAATTTTAATGTTTAAAATTATTGATAAAATATCCTGCTTTTGAATTATTTATTTTTGAAAAATTAACATAGCTGTTATTTTAAAATTATTGGTCATATATACAAAATTAATTTTTTGTAGATAACATATATCTATACATAGATATTTAATAAACTAAACATTTTCGGATATGTTTATAGAAACTTTCATTTCTTATTTTGGCAGTCAGGAATAATCACGAAATACTTTTCTATATTTTAGAGACACTCATTATGTATTTAACGTTTGAACATAAAATATCATTGATTCAATATCATTCTGTATTGTAAATAAAATAATATAACGTTTAAAACTTTAAATTATATAGACATTTTTTTAATTCCTAAAGCTGTTTTGTTAAACTTCTTATTGTCGCAATAATAATTCATACCTGATAAGTCGTACATGGGTTGCTATGATGTTATTTAGAACTTTATTAAAATTTTTGCACACGACCAAACTAACTAATCGACATCTGAAGATTTCTAACTGACCACAAGTGTGAAGAATTATTAGCACCAAAAAAATATCTATAGACATGTAAATGGTAGTTGCTAATAAAATTGATATAGTATGAATAAGAAATGTCATTTCATATTGCGGACTTTTATCTGTATCATAGAAGTGATACGTCGCCAGCGGTAAGAATTTGCTCCGATTCATGAAATTGGTTGTGTGTAGTATTGGAATGCCAAAATAAGGAGGAATGGTTACGGTGAGAAATCCTATTACCGCAAAAATGTATCCAATTATCATGATTAATCGAGCACTTCGTGCTCGTCTTATCATCACAGTTCTCTCTGTAAAGTGCTTGAATGCTATCCAGTCTTCCGCCATCATATTTATAATCGCGAAAAGAACTTGAAAATATAAATAAATACAAATAAAATATAAATATTGTTAACATGTTATAATATTGAACAATTTATAAGTATATGTTGTTAGTTTTGAGCATTCGAACTTAAAAAAAAATAATATATATATTCTATAATAGGACGTGCAGTTTTGCAATACGGAACAAACTCCAAAACCTTATAGCCAGTTTACAATGAGTCGTTAGTCGTTAGTCAGATGTCGAAAGAGAGTCGGAAAAAGTCATAGCGTATCGTAAAGTGTCACACTACGTATCGCGGACGCAGATCGGATTGAGATTGCGGATCGCGGATCGTAATCTAGCCAATCGTAGACGAGCAGCTCATCTATGATTGGCTGAATTCCGATCCGCGATCCGCGATACGTAGTGTGAAACGGGATTAAGGCGATCGGAAGTCTGTAATCGGCGATCGTAAGCGATTGGTCAAATGCCGTCTCTTACGATCACCGATTACAGACTTCCGATTGCCTTAAGATACGCTTATGACTATTTCTTCTGACTCTCTCCTCCCGACATCTGACTAACGACTAACGACTTATTGTAGACTGGCCATTACTTTTCCGCTAGTAAATTTCACGAGTAAATATCACGATATATTAGAAATAAAATTCGGTTCCAACGTTATCTCAAGTATAATGACCGACCTACAAGCTTCCTCACAAAGTTTTAGAAAAGTTCTTGTTCTGTCTAGGATTAGGTTTGCAAAGCAGAACTAAAAATCTCGAAAACTACGCTTGGTTCCTTATTGCATAACTGCATCCACTTTATTTCGACATACCGCTGTTATACTAGTGTAAATCACATACATATAATATCTGGTTTTTGATATTAGAATCAGCAATGTATAAAAGTCATGATAAATCATATATATGTTGATTTAATAATGCAATAAAATATAATGCTATGGATTCTGATTTAAATATAATTTTGCATTACCTGTTCGTTTCCATCGTATAACAACATATTTCGCTATTATTGTCACCATGGGTAATGCGATATGCAAACTGTCTATTACGAGTACCATATTACCCCAAACGTTCATAAAGGTACACATCGTCGGAAGAAAAATAATTATTAATAAAATTAAAATAATACCGACTCGAAATTCTAGCCACTGGTATTTCTTAATAAATTTATCCGTTTTCGGCCACAAGCCAATCATTTCCATACCCAAGCGATGAAGTTCGACTGCCCACACAAAATCTGACAATTTTATATACAATTTTATTTTATAATTAATCTAATTCATTCGTTAGACGTGAAAATCACGCGTTAATAGAATATATGTTTTATAAAATTAATACCTCGGTAACCTGTAGATTCCGTAATGTCCATATCAAAAACTGACGTGAAAAGAATCGTTCCGTTCTTCTCAACATGTAGTGCAAAATAAACGCGCATGCTCCCCATAGAAGAGCAAAAACCCGGCAGTCACGTCAAATTGCGGCATTAAATATTAAAAATGCTATCCCCAGTTTATTACGACCGTTCATATCGTCAATAAACTTTACAGACGTGCAATAAGTCATAAAAACGTTTATTTCTGATCTAACAAGAGATAGAAAATATTGCATCGCGGTATATCATGAGGTTGTCAAGTTTGTCTAAAAAATTTTGCCGTATTTTATGCCGCTTCATTATGATGCGTTTACTCCGAAATGAGAGATAACGTTATTTCATTATTAATGGAGTTCTATACATCGAACTCAAGAATACAGAAATATTATAGTCGAAAAGAAATAATAACAATTGCGTGGTGTACGGACTTTTCGAATATTTCTTTTCAAGATATATCGCAATACGGATGAATGCAATATTATATCTAGTAGCAGACCAAAGTATCTTACAATTAGTTATTGTTCATACAAATACGGTAATAATAAAATTACGATATTTTAAAGAATATAAAACATCAATTTTCTAAATTATGGTTACTTTTATTCGGCAATATTCTCGTAACGAGATAACTAATGTGTTCTGTACCTTGAAAATAAGTCTCTACTTGAAATTGGAACAAATGAGATAAATTCTATCGTCGTAGTAACGTAGATATATTCATCTTACTGTGATACTTTTGTAAAGTGCCAGTAACACAAAAATCGATAAAACATTATAACTGAATATAATATTATTAAAAGACATTCAGTAAAGGCGATTTTAAATTATAGATTTGCATTCTTTCTTTGAATGTAACATGCAAACGTAGATAAACAGAGATATAATTAATAGACAATACAAAATTTTATTTCTACTGATACTGACAATTACTAAATACAATTGTTATTCACTATTTAACACAAAAATCATGCATCTTCACTTATGTAATAAAAAAAAAGTAATATTTATCATGATCTTCAATCATGTTTTGTTATTAAAAACGATATATAGCCACACGATGTTTTTAACACCTAAAAATAATTATATCTTTATTCAGAGACACTATACGAGAGAGAGAAAAGAAAAAAATTTTTACAAAAATAATGACTGAACTGTCTTAAGGAATATATTGTCGATTATATCGACCTTTTTATGTATATCTGTCGTAAAGGATAAAATACTGACTGACCACGATTTATTTAATTTATAAATATTCGTAAATACTTTTCAACAATTAATTGTAAAAATGTATCGCATCATTATAACTTGCATTATAGTATGTCTACTTCAGTGGGGAAATCACAATCATATATAACGTACGCACGCGGCGGAGGATATATACGTAGAATAAATATTATTCACTTAAAAGAGACAGAGAAAGAGAAAAGGGCGGAGAGAAAGAGAGAAAGAAAAGAAATTAATACATAAAGTTGCTACATAAACTTACACTGCAAAACGTAGCCAGTGTTAAAGGAATAATTTTTCCTGCAGTGATACGAAAAGGATGCTGGGTTCGTATCATTAACAAAATAAGACTTCTTGCCTTTCTTGATTCCAATTTATACCATTCAAGATCGCATAGAGCACGATGTATTGCATTGCACTTAACAAATACATATGTAATAGTACATTAATGTCATGTCATTTGAATGAAAATTATTTCCAAAAATATTAGTAAGAATTAATTCGGACTTAATTGACTTCTGTTTTATATACATATGTACGATGTTATATATACATATGTACATATGCGCGAACACATATACATATTATTAAAAGTATAACTTACTTGCTCCGTTACAAGCTCTCCTGCGCCACAATAAAGAAAAGTATTCATCAATAAGACAATAAGAAGAATTGCCGAAAAGTATATTTCTGTTACAACAACATCATCTATTTTTTTGTTAATAAGAAACTGAAATGCATAACTTATAAAAACATGACGAAACGTATATAAATATTAAAATATTTTCTTAAATTTTGAATGGTGGAACTTACAATAGCAAATAGAAAGCCATTTAGGCAAAATACAACATCAAAATAAAGTATCATTATTAACATTATTAAGGAGTACATACTTTCAATATTTTCAGCAAATCTATAGAAATGAGAATTTTTGAAAGAGTTGTCACGTTAAAGCTAAGAAAACGATACGTATAAAAATATACAAAATATACGTGAAACTCTGGATCATCGATTCAAAATATCATTCACTATTGTATAGAGAAAATAATATAACGTTTAGAGTTTTAAGTCTTTATGTAGAATATTTTTTCACATTTCTGTATAAATCTATTTTGTTAATTTCTTTATTGTTGCAATTAAATTTTATACCTGATTAATCGTAGATGAGTCGTTAAAACGTTATTTAGAACTTTGTCGAAATTTTTGCACAAAACTAAACTAACTAATCGGCATCTGAAGATTTCTAACTGGCCGCAAATGTGAAGAATTATTAGCACCAAAAAAATATCTATAGACATGTAAATGGTAGCTGCTAATAAAGTTGATATAATATGAATGATAAATGTCAATTCATATTGTGGACTCTTATCTGTATTATAGAAGTGAAACGTTTCCAGCGGTAACAGCTTACTCCGATTCATGAAATTCGTTGTGTACAGTATTGGAACGCCAAAATAAGGAGGAATGGTTACGGTGACAAATCCTATTACCACAAGAACGTATCCAATTATCATGATTAATCGAGCACTTCGTGCTCGTCTTATCATTACGTTCCTTTCTGTAAAGTGCTTGAATGCCATCCAGTCTTCCGCCATCATATTCACAATCGCGAGCAAAACTTGAAAATATAAATAAACCCAAATAAAATATAAATATTGTTAAAATGTTATAATGTCGAACAAATTATAAATATATATGTTGCTATTTTGAACTTTTGAACTAAAATGAAAATCATATACATACTACAATTTATTTCGACATACTGCTGCTACAAATGTAAATCACATACATATAATTTCTAGTTTTTGATATTAGAATTAGCAACGTACATGTCATAATAAATCAATTATATGCTGATTTAATAAAGTAATGAAATATAATGCTAAGGATTTTGTTTTAAATAATTTTGCACGTACCTGTTCTTTTCCATCGCATAATTACATATTTTGCTAATACTGTCACCAGGGGTAACGTAAAATGTAAACTGTCTATTACGAGTACCATATTGCCCCAAACATGGATAACCATACTTATCATCGGAATAAAAATAAATATTAATAAAATTAAAACAATACCGACCCGAATTTCTGGCCACAAGCATTTCTTAGTGAATTGTTCGGTTTTCGGCCACAAGCCAATCACTTCCAAGCCTAAACGATGAAGTTCAACTGCCCACACAAAATCTGAAAAATTTATATATAACAAAAGATATTTTTATACAAGGTAAGATTTGAAAAAGATTAACTAAACTAATTCATTTATTAGACAGAATTGTTATAATTATTAAAAAGTATGTTATTATATGAAATTAATACCTCTGTAACCTGAAGATTCCATAATGTCCATGTCGAAGACTAACGTAAAGATAATTATAATCGCGTTCCGTTCTTCCCACCATGTAGTATAAAATAAACGCGCATGCTCCCCATAGAAGAACAAAAACCCAGCAGTCACGTCAAATGCTACATTAAATATTAAAAATGCTATCCCCAGTTGATTATGACCGTTCATATCGTCAAGAAACTTTACAGACGTGCAACATTTCATAAAAACGTTTATTTCTGATCTAACAAAACGAGAGGTAGAAAATATTGCATCGCGGTACATCAGAAGTTTGTCGAACTTATCTGAATAGTTCTTTCGTACGTTGCTTCATTATGCATGCGCTTTCTCCGAAATGAGAAATAACGTTATTTCACTCTTAATAAAGTTCTATACGTCGAACCCAAGAATACAGAAATATTCTAGTCAAAAAGAAATAATAACAATTACAAGGTGTACGGACTTTTCGAATATTTCTTCTCAAGATACATCTAGCGTAACACGAATGAATGTAATATTATATGTCTAGTAAGCAGACTAAAATAAGTATTTTACGATTATTTATTGTTCATACAATTCCTTTAACAAAATTACGGTATGTTAAAGAATATAAAACTTCAACTTTCTAAGAGAGATATGGTGGTTTTTCGGCAATATTCTCGCAATGAGATACCAATATGTTCGGATGTTCTTTGAAAATAAGCCACTTGAAACTATTCTTGATATTGGAACAGATGAAATAAATCCTATCGTCGTAGTAAGGTAGACGTATCATCTAATCATATTAATTTAATAAAGTAACACTAACATTGATAATCTTATTAATATAATATAATAATATTATTGAGTGTCATATAGTAAAGGCAATTTATAACTATAAACTTGTCTTCTGTTTGAACGTAATATGTTATATACAAACGAGTCTCCATTAAAGTATTCTAGTGACGGACAATGAAAATATTGTCATGTTACAGAAACGCAATATAGTTTATGATAAACGATGAATGTTAATCTAACAAAACAAAATTTTATTTTTACTGGTTCTAACAATTACTGTATACAATTGTCATTTGTAATTATTTAACTAGAAATGTATCCATTTCTTTCATGTAATAAAATGTAGTAATATTTATCTTCAACCATGTTTTGTCATTAAAAATGATATATAGCCACACGATGTTTTTAATACCTAAAAAAATTATATCTTTATTAATAAAAATAATAATATCTTTATTTAGACATTACGAAAACAAAAAGAAAATTTTTACAAAAATAATGTGGACTAAAGTGCCTTAAGGAAAACGTTGTTAACCTTTATTACATCTGTCGTAAAGATTAAGATACTGACTGACCATAATTCTTTAATTTGTAGATATTTATAAACACTTTCAAACAATTAATTAAAAATTATATCATTATAACAAGATTACTTCAGTGGAGAAGTCATTAATGGCTTTGATGTTATTAACGATCTTTCCACTAAAGTAAACATGTCGTTTATATTTGCAGCTCAATTATTAAATAACATTTTCCCTAAAATAATTATACTTGCTCGCGCGCAATTACATACGCATGCATGCATGATGTACGTACGCATATTACGATATTACATACGCGGGGGAAAAATAAACAAAATAAATTTTATTCACTTAAAAAAGAGAGAGAGAGAGAGGGGGGAGAAGAAATTAATACATAAAGATGCGAAATAAACTTACACTGCAAAACGTAGCCAGTGTTAATGGAATAATTTTTCCTGCAGTGATACGAAATGGATAGTGGGTTCGTATCATTAACAAAATAAGATTTCTCGCCTTTCTTGATTCCAATTTATACCATTCAAGATCACACAGAGCACGATGTACTGCATTGCTCTTAACAAATACATAGAAGTACATTAATGTCATGTCATTTAAACGAGGATCATAACGAGGATCCAAAAATATATCTAAGAATTAAGTCGAACTTGACTGACTTATATATGTTTGATCAAAAGAAAAATTAGAAACAAGAAACTCATTTAGCTTAATACTGTACATTTGTATTTTAATTAATGTTAATAGAGGCACGATCTTTCATTAAACGTATATGTACATAAAAAAATAATTTTTAATAGTTTTTCTTACCCGACAATAGCCAACATATGTAACAATGACGAGGAAAGATTTTTTATTATATATTATAGTAATGTTAAAAATATATACGGACGTATTAAAATTATATAGCTACAAGTTATATAACATATTAAGCGTATATTACGTTTGTACATACAAGGTGTCTAATAGACGTAATACTTTTCGTGAGCAGATAAAGCGGATTAAAGTGAACAGAAAACTTCAATATTATATTGCGTCTTTTACAAAATTAATAAGAATTTAATTAAAATTTGCGAATCGAGCGAATAAACATTCGCTCGACAAAGAATAACATTGCATGCTGTTTACGATTATTGTTTACAAATACGCGCGCTTGCGCCCACAACAAACATATATACACATTATATAACTTACTTGCTCCGTTATAAGCTCTCCTGCGCCATAATAAAGAAAAGTATTCATCAATAAGGAAATAAGAAAAATTATTGTAAAGTATATTTCTGTAACAGCAACTTTATCTGTATTTTTGTTAATAAGTAACTGAAATGCATAACTTATAAAAGTATAAAGGAACGTATAAATGTATTAAAATATTTCTTCGTATTTAGAATTCTGTAACTTACAGTAAATAGAAAGCCGTTTAGGCAAAATGTAATAGCGAAGCAAAGTACCGTTATTAACATTATTAAGGAGTACATATTTTCAATATTTTCAGCAAATCTATAGAAATAAGGACATTTGAAAGGGTTGTTATATGTTAAAACCATAGAGATATAAGAATAGAGTGCGCGAGTCATATGCTAGCACGTAAGAGGCTGCGATATAGGAATAGAAAAAGAACGCTGCATATAGGCCCTTTCTGTCTTTGTCTACGCGTGTATGCGAAACAAAGACAGAAGGGGCCCATGCGCAGCTTTCTCTTTCTATTCTGCGCAGCTTTCTCTTTCTATTCCTATATCGCTTTTTCAGCTCGCTCGCGCACTCTATTCTTATATCTCTACGGTTAAAACTAAGAAAACAACATACATATAAAAATATACAGGATATACATTAAACACGGAAAAATCTTTGATAATTCTAGATAAAAATTTAAATAGACATTTCTGACATCAAAATCAGAAAGAGAGTTTCGATATATGGTTTAATATGCTTTATAAAATATCTCCTTTAAAAAAAAACTAATGTTAATAGAAATATTTGTTTTTTATTTTGATATCAGAAATATTCACGAAATTCTCTCCCATATTTCAGATACAATCTTCATGTATCTAAAGTTTAAACATAAAACGTCACCTATTCAGTATCATTCACCATGATAAATAAAATAATATAACGCCTAAAATTTGAAATCTTTATATAAAAAAATTTTTTAATGGTATTTCTAATGCTGTTTTGTTAAACTTTTTATTGTTACAATAAAAATTCATACCTGATGAGTCGTACGTGGGTTGCTATGATGTTATTCAGAACTTTGTTGAAATTTTTGCACAAAACTAAGCTAACTAATCGGCATCTGAAGATTTCTAATTGGCCACAAATGTGAAAAATTATTAGCACCAAAAAAATATCTACAGATATATAAACAATAGATGCTAAAAAACTTGATATAATCTGAATGAAAAATGTCAATTCATATTGCGGACTCTTATCTGTATCATAGAAGTGATACGTCTCGAACGGTAACAATTTGCTCCGATTCATAAAATTTGTTGTATATATTATTTGAATGCCAAAATAAGGCGGAATGGATACGATGAGAAATCCTATTGCAACGAAAATGTATCCAGTTAACGTGATTAATCGAGCACTTTGTGCTTGTCTTATCATCACAGTTCTCTCTGTAAAGTGCTTGAATTCCATCCAGTCTTCCGCTATCATATTTACAATCGCGAAGAGAACTTAAAAATATATAAATAAATACAAATAAAACATAAATATTAAAATGTTGTATTATTGAACAATTTATAAGTATACGTTTTTAGTTTTGAGCATTCAAACTCAAAAGGAAATAACATACATTCTATAATAGGACGAATAGTTTTGCAATACGGAACAAACTCTAAACCTTATATACTATTCCGCTAAGGTAAACACGATACATTAGAAATAAAATTCGGTGTCAATGTTATCTCAAGTACAATGACTGACCTATAATTTTCCTCACAATTCTATGCATTATATGAAGTTTTATAAAATTTCTTGTCCTGTCTAGGATTACTTTGCAATGCAGAACTAAAAATCACAAAAACTACGCTTGATTCCTTATTGCATAACTGCATCCACTTTATTTCGACATACTGCTATTATACAAGTGTAAATCACATACATATAATATCTGGTTTTTTATATTAAAATCAACAATAAGTCACGATAAATCATATTCGTGATGCTGATTTTAATGAAGTAACGATATCTAATGCTATGGATTTGGTTTTAAATAATTTGGTTTTAATTATACACATACCTGTTCTTTTCCATCGCACAATAACATATTTCACAAATATTGCCGTCATTGGTAATGCGATATGTAAACTATCTATTACGAGTACCATATTACCCCAAACATGCATAAATGTACATATCGTCGGAAGAAAAATAATTATTAATAAACTTAAGATAATACCGACTCGTATTTCTGGCCTCTGATATTTCTTAGTAAATTTTTCGGTTTTCGGCCACAAACCAACTACTTCGAAGCTTAAACGATGAAGTTCAACTGCCCATACAAAATCTATAGATAAATTTTATATAAGATATTTTCGAGGATATTTTTATACAAGATAAGATTTTTTTATATAAAGAACTTAATGGATTTAATTAATCATGAGACATGAAAAGCACACGTAATTAACTGAATATATGTTATATGCAATTAATACCTTTGTAACCTGAAGATTCCGAAATGTCCATGTCATTAACTGATACAAGAAGAGTACTGCTTCGTTCTTTCAAGTGACCCTAAGATAGAAGGTGATCGTCACGCATGCTTGTGAAGTAACTGCGAAAACTTAGCTGTTTTGCGAGAGATACATTAAATATTAAAAGTGGCATCCCTAGTTTGAAAACAGTTCTCCGTTTCACAAAAACTTCTCGAGCATGGTAACAAGTAGAAAATAAGAACGCTAAACAGGGACATATGTTGTTTCCCACCAGTTTTCCAGTGTTTTACACCAGTGTTTGAAACCTATTGTACAAATTTTTTTCATCTTATAATGCTTTATTACACATGCATGCATTTTCGTATCGAAGGATAATGCATTTTTAATGAATCTGTGGAGAGAAAACGAAAGAAATAAAGAACATTGTGTAACGGGAAAGCGTTTTATGCGATAAAAAGTGTGTAAGATGTCATGAATTGACATCATACATATAAGCTAAATACATAAACTTCGATAAAAATTTAAAAAATATGATAAAATTATATTTTTTGTAAATAATATATTTTTTATATACAACAGCTTGTCATATATATGAAAATATTGCAGTTTTGTCATATATATGAAAGATTGCAGTTTTTTCTCAATATATGAAAAATAAAAAATTAAATAATAAATAAAAGTGATGAATAAACACGAAGAAATATTTTAGTGCAAGGGAACATTCTCCAACAAAGAAAATACAAAAAATATAAAAATTGTACAATTTATTGAGCCAATATTGAAAAATAATAATACATTGACTACGGTTATTACTAATTGTAGGTTCAATCACATCGGTAGTGCTGAGCAAAACTCATCAGTTATAAGAAAAAAATGCAAAATAAAAAAATACAATATAATATATAAAATATTTTATAAATTCGAACATTCCAAATTATTAAAGCTTTAAATTATAATCTTTTATAACGTATCTGAAATGAATATACGTGTACAAATAATGTGCTGCTCAGAACTTTGTCAATGTCTATAATGATATTTGTATTGTTCTTATCATTATGTTTATTATATATTATTAATGCAATTCAATGATGCACATTAATCACATCGTGCAAGCAAAACCGATATATAACCGCCTGATGTTTTTAGTAGCTAAAATAAATAAGCTGTTTTATAAAAATTGTATTATACAATTTAATATTTTTTCAAAAAATTATTATAAATATTAAATCGCAGTTTTTTTTATACAATAACTGACGTTTTAATAAAACATCCTTATAATTAAGTGTTTGCTTACGCTGCAGAAGGAATTCATCGTTAGAGGAAAGATATTTCCAACAGTTACGTTAAGTGGCTTGTTTGCGCGAGTCATCAACAGAATAAGATTTCTGGCTTGCTTCGGTTTTAATTCGTACCAACGATATTCACATACAGCTTGATAAACACCTTCACACTATAATGCAATATAATTTAATTAAATATTGAAAAAACATCTCGTACAAGCTTATTAATCTTAAAAAATTAATTATATATACAGTTTAACATACATTTCCAGAATTATAATTTTAATTCTTTAATCTGTTTGCAAGTACTTAATTATAAAATTGCAATTTAAAACACAGACAGAACAAACTCGACAATCGTGAAAATTAGGACATTTATTTTTATATAGTAACTGCTTTTCAACTAGATTACAGTATATGTATCGAATTTTTGCAGCAAGGCAGGTATTTGTATGAATTTAATAAGACAGATTTATTAATGACAACATACTTGCGTTATTAGACATTCCCCAACCACACAATACAAACACATATGTGCGAAAATATTCACGAGAACCGTTACAAGGCTTGACAGTCTTAGAAAAGATAAATGACGTCCATCAGTAATAACCTAAATTATTAATTAATATAAGGAAAGTACTAGAAAAATATAAACTATCAAATAAATAAATAAATATAAATACTGCTAATATAAAAAAATATGTTCTTATTTGTGAAATAAATTTAAACGTTAAATCTTAAGATAATATTTAAAATGTATTAAATGAAATGAAATTAACCCTAGAACATCACACCGCGTGTTTAGCACATCTACCTATTGGGTGTAGCCATACTAAAGTCTACTAAACGGCAGACGAAGTTGCGCAGCATGGACAATCGTATAGGGAAAGAACAAAAGTTTATTTACCTTATCACTTCGATTCTCGAACTTTCACTATATTGTAGAAACAGCGAGCATCTTTAAAACAAACATGAGTGTGATACACCCAGTGTACGTGGTGTTCTAGGGTTAAATACATATCTAATATTACATTTTGATCTAACTAATATAATGGTATATATGTATATTGAATATCAAAATGTTCTATAGACGGGTTTGTGAATATTAGTAATTCTCACTACAGTTTCAACACTTCGAAGAGTAGTTCAAATATACAATAATGTCAGATTATTAAATAAAATTAGCAAAACTGATAAATAAAAAATTTATATTATGACTGCAAAAAAAATCTATTTATTAACTTACGGTAACTAAGGAAAATCCGTATACACTAAATAATGTACCGAAGTAGAGAAATAATCCAAGAAGCATCAAAGTAAATGTATTTTCAATGATTCTAACACATCTATAATAATAACAAAATTTTCAATTAAATATCAAAAATTGTACAAAATGAAAAATTGTATTATAGTAATTCTATCTATTAATTAAGCCTAAGAAATAATAAGTGTAAATTTAGATGTTTCGAAAGTATTATAATTTTTCTATTAGAAATATATATACAGATATATATTTACTAATTGTGCTGTATAACTTTATTAGAAATAATTAGCATTGTTATATAAAATAATAAGTATTTATCAAAATAGTGAATGCGTATTATGTACGAAACCTGATAAGGCGTACATGATCCATTACAGCGTCCGCTAAAACATGATCAAAATTTGGATTTTTTTCAGAACTCGTCATTAACCGCCCCTTAAGATTCTCCAATTGACCGCAGACATGGAAAACCAACAATCCAAACATACTGTCAATCGCGGTGTAACCCATAGCAGATACCATGAGAGTAACACATTGTGCGGCGAACGTGAGCTCGAAGTACGGACTCGTATCTGTGTCGTAGAAGTAATATGTCTGCAGGGGCAATGGTTTGCCCGGATCGGTCACGTTAGTTATGTACCGCACGGTGATCCCGAAGCACGGAAGAATAAACAATAAGATAAACGACCCAAACATTATGACGAATCCGCAGATTATGATCATGCGAGGAATCCGCGCGCATCTTATCATAATTTTCCGTTCTTCGTCGGAGTTCAGTTTCAGCCAATCTTTAGCGATCATATACAAGATCGGCGCAAGGGCTTAAAAAATAGATTGTAACGAGAAAAATAAGTGAAAACGAGAGAGAGAGAGAGAGATTAATTATAACAGATTAAATATAACAACACAATGATTTTTCAACGATATATAAAAATTAATAGTTATAAAATAGACCGGATTTTCAAAAAATTATAAAGCAAGTATTATAAATTCTATAAAGTAATTAAAAAATTATCGTCATCAAATGTCTAGTGCATTGGTCTTAAAGTAATTTAGTAGAAATAATAACACACATTAAATCGTACAGTTTAAAATTATTTTTAGAACTTTAAAATACCTAACTTCTTATATGCATAAGCTTCGCAATAAATTCGCATGTTAGGATTATATTTATTTATTTAAATAGTTGTACTGCAATTGCTCGATTTTTTAAGAATTTATAATACTATTTTTAAAAGCTTTTAATGTTATTTTATAACAGTATCTTATATATTTCAATATTATTTTTAAGGAACATCCACTTTTTAGTGCCAAATTTATACTTTATACTACAAGAAAGATTTATTTACCAGCTTTTTTGCGCCACATAATGATGAGTTTCATTGTCATCGACACTAAAGGTAAAGTGAACTGTAAATTGTCCGTCATTGACATCAGATCGCCCCAAACTCTTATTAGAGAATGTATACAAGGAATTACGCAGACACAGGTTACCATAATTATCAATAGAAATACTCGTATGTTAGCTATTAATTTCTCTCGCGCTGTTTCTTCCATTTTCGGCCAAAGACCGATGAATTCCAAGCTATAGCGATTCAATTCTATCGCCCATTCAAAGTCTAGTTACCAAAGTGTAAACTCGTTAATCAACCGTTTCGGAATTATTTCTATGATTTCAGAAATAATGGAATAGTATATCTTAAGTTGAAAAAATACTTCAAAATTAATATCTTTTATCATATGCACACACAATACCGCATTTGGATTACTAATTATATCACTTTTTCTTCTTTTAATGTTTCAATTAAGACCATCAAGCAAATGTTTCCTAATGAGAATTAGAAACAATAACGAACCTGCGTATCCTGAATGTCTAATAACGTCCATATCTAAGGTCGACCACGTACTGTTTTCCTCCGTAAAAAAAAATATTTTTATCCCCCCACTAACCATCGCACATACTCCGCGTGACATGACGTATTTATGTACTAAACATGAAGTCTATAGAATAATCGATGTGTCATAAATATTGCATTTTTCGATAAGAGTGGCGACGATATTTCACATGATCAACACACTACAATATACCCCCCAATGTTCGGTAAAAGAAAGTTGCTCCGTGAAGACATTAACTTCAAAGTTTTGCATGCCTGACGAAACAAAGATAACTGAGAAAAAAAGAAAATAATATCGCTTTCGTGAATTGATATGCATTAATGCATTATTGATATATCCTGAGAGAAACTTTCTTTCATCGCAGCGTAACAATTCTTGAGGAGAGATAGTCGCAACTGAGCAATATACGCAAAAATATCTCTTTGTCTCTGTGCTGATAAACAATATATTTTAAGTCTGCTGAAAATAAAAATTTCATAATTTTTTATTAAAAACGTAGAGAACTAAAATTAAGTTTTACGTTTCTAGATCTAAATGAAGGTAAAAAATTATTCATAAAGAATGTAAGTTATGTGACTCTCTTGCTCTTACAAAATACTTACACGGAACAATTTTTTTAAATTGTTATCTGCTATTGAAAAATAATTAGTCAGTCCGTTTAACTATACCGAATTATTTCATCACTGGCGAATAACTTTTATTGAATAGAAGAAAAATAATTATGTTTTATTTGTAATTCAAATATTTTATTTGTAACCCTACGCAATCATACGCGTTTTAAATAAAATGTTTCATTAAAATGCATGCATGTTTTACTGAAACATTATAATTTAAGCAATAAGAAAAACTTTTATAATGCATACTTTACATATTACTTTACTCGTTATTTATTTTTAGTTGTTACCTCAGTATTTGTTGAAAAAGGCAGGAAGGAATTGATTCGTGATTCCTCCAAGTTAAACCGAAGATGTGTGCGACTCTCGGCTCGGCGCAAGTTCACCGAGCTGGAACATCGCGCGTTATTTGATCGATGGATTTCCACGCGATCACTCCTCTTTTCCGCGATCGCGATCTCTTCATCTCTGATCTCTCACAATCACTTTCTCTCACATTCTATCCCGCTCTCGCGTCCGGCACGTCGCGACGCGGCCAGCGCGGCCTCCGTTGGCTTCGTTTTCGCGCTCGCTCGACAGGTATACATGTGCATACATATACCGCATTTACCTTGCGCGCGCGTGCGCCGCGACGCACGTTTCAGCAAATTGTCATGAACTAAATGCCACGAAAGATTCGTATACTCACCGCGCGGAGCGCCGGTGTTGCGAGTGCGACCTGTCGAGGCGGATGAATGGCGTATTTATGTGTTTTAACGCGCGACATCGCCTATGTTCCGGCCTCCCGGCACCATCGTGAGCCGCGTTCACCCCACGAGCTGCCTGACCTGTCCGAGGAGCGCGTCCTCGCGCATTTCGTCAATTCCAAGCCGACGGGCCTCGGCGGAGCCGCGTCGCAGAGATCGTATCGTCGCTCGGTAGGCGTTGCTGTCACTTGGCTTCCCTTTACTCCGCGTTGTTTTTCACAAATTTTCACTCCGCTCTCGTGCCCGTACGCGCCCAATTTCTGTCACGGTAGCGCAAACGGCAACAGGCCGTACCTTCGGTCTCTAAAAAAACATACGCGGGATACGTAGACTACACCGCGGTGGGGAGATTAGGCGTGTACAAGTGGATACCGTCTCTGACAGAATCGCGTGCTTCTATCCTTGATGGGACAGTCGCTACGTTAGATGATATTGCCAGTGAAACTACCGTGCTGTATCGCTAATAATCGCTGTTTTGAATGCAGGGACAATGTTTACCAAGAAGAAAAAGAAACCGCAGATCTCCACACCGACCAACTTTGAGCACAGAGTGCATACCGGATTCGACAAACGCGAGGGCAAGTTCGTCGGGCTGCCCCTGCAATGGGCTTCCATAGTTGGGAATAACCAGATCCTGAAGTCGACCAACCGACCACTGCCCTTAGTCGATCCAAGCGAGATCACACCTACCGAGATCCTTGACTTGAAGACCATCGTGAGAGGCCACAATGATCCTAGGATAAGTAGACCGCTCGCTACTGACCGAACTGTAGAGAATGGCCTGCCTAAGATCAGTACAGTTGCCCGTTCCAATTCTCTACGTTCCTCGAGTCCACCACGACTCAGGAGAGATTACAGGTATTGCGATCTAGCTTTGCCTAAGGGTCTATCCAGACAAACTTGCATAGGTGCATAAGCATACACATAAGGAAATGGATTGGTGTATTTCCTCATGCACATGTATATGGACTAATCAATTTTCTTATGCTTATGTTTATGCGCTATGCAAGTTTGTCAGGATAGACCCTCTCATACCTACACTCACAGTATTGCATGAAACATATAAGTTGTTTGAAATATAAAATGATTTAAAAGTACATATATTGTTTAATAAATATAATAGAATTTTTGTTGACAAAGACTGACACACTGTAAACGAACATATCTATATAATTGATACAAATAAATTAAGCAAATTAAGTTAGTCATAGATATTCTCGCATTATCTCGAAACATTTTAATAAGATTAATGGCAGGAATGATTTTTTCTTTTATTTTGTAGGCATAACAGCAATCTTCCGCCATCCGTCCCCGAAGGTCAAGAGATACCTTCGAACGTTAATCAGGGCTTTACAAACTTTGGCAAGCCGCATAACTACATCGATAAACTAAGACAAAATTCCCCGAGCGTTGGCAGTGGACTAAATTCCAGCATGCAGAACATGATTCCAAATCTTCAAAATCTCAATCCTAATATGCAATCCTCGCCAAATTTAACTCACTCGGGATCAAATGTACCAAACTTATCCTTAAATTTCCAAAACTTAAGTCCTATTGTAAATTCACAAGCTCCAGTACAAAATCCAAATAACCCGCAACTCCTCGATACGGAATTTCACAGACTAAATTCGCAAATGGCTATGACATCAGGCCAATATAATGGCAATGTACAGGTAATAATATTAAGACTTTAATAACTACATAGTTTAAAAATATTTGCAGCATTTATAATCTTGCCATTTTAATTAATTTATGATATAATTATAATTTTGCGCCTTATTACCCTAACAAAATTACATACGTTAAATTGAATCTTCTAGTTTAATGTATGCAAAAGAACAATTTAAACATATTGTACCCTATCAAAATGTAAAAGTTGAAATATTAAAGCTTCTGTTATATTTTTAAAAAGGCCGAATATATTCTTAAAGAATAAATAACAATTGTGCAGTAATATTATTTGATTTATAGGGTTCAACTATGGAGGCGTCGAGGGAACATCAAGTTGGCCAAAATGTCTTGTTACACAAGTTACAGCCAAAAATTTCGCCAGTGGGTTCAATAGCTTCGCAACGACCTCTGAGTCAATTGAGTTCACATAATATTAATAAATATTCTCAGGCATACATGTCTGAAAATCCATCCAACCTCCAATCGCATTTGAAGAAACCGATAGAAACTTCCCAATCGATGCATAATTTGTCAAAGCCGAGCATCCCGTCCGCAGTATCAGGGACCAGTTCTACTCCAGATCAAAACCAAAACATGAAAAGTGCCGTCTCCTCAGGGAACTTGGCGGTTGGTGCAAGTTCGAACAATACCAATAAACAAACGGAGCAGAGACTTACGCACGAACAGTTTCGAGCTGCTTTACAGATGGTGGTATGTAAAATTTATATTTAAATTTATTACACAGTACACTATATATTGTTGATCACAACATTATTATTCAAAAAATGTTATCTTCAAAGCAAATATTCTTATTTTCTTAAGTCTATTTTGTAAATGAGATATGAACGGTTATAATTAAATTCTTTTATTATTGCTATACTGAGTTAAAAGTGAAATGGAATAAACAAGTTTTGCAGTCTAGAACTTATTTAAAAATAATTTTTATGACGTGATGTTTACGTATCCTGCATGTGCATTTATCTTTAGGTGAGTCAAGGCGATCCAAGAGAAAATTTGGAGAATTTCCTGAAGATTGGCGAAGGCAGTACAGGAACTGTATGCATAGCTACGGATAAGAGTACAAACCGTCAAGTTGCAGTCAAGAAAATGGATTTAAGGAAACAACAAAGACGCGAATTACTTTTTAACGAAGTCGTTATCATGAGGGACTACCATCATCCAAATATAGTCGAGATGTATAATAGTTTTTTGGTAGACGATGAATTATGGGTAGTTATGGAGTATCTAGAGGGAGGTGCACTAACTGATATCGTAACACACTCAAGAATGGACGAAAGTCAGATAGCTACAGTATGTTCTCAATGTCTCAAGCCACTGGCGTATTTACATTCACAAGGTGTTATACACAGGGATATTAAGTCTGATTCAATATTACTTACGGCCGACGGCAGAGTAAAACTGTCAGATTTTGGTTTCTGTGCTCAAGTCTCTCAAGAATTACCAAAGCGAAAGTCTCTCGTAGGAACCCCATACTGGATGAGTCCCGAAGTTATTTCAAGGTATTTTATACTGTTATCTGTTTCTTATAAAGTAATACAAATTTCAAGTTTTATTATTTACATTGTTATAGAGAAAAATAAATTACAAATGCAGTAAGAGTAGTACACGAAGTACCTGAGAAATGTATATTTTTCTGTTTATATATTTTTAAAATTTTCTTGCATTTTTCTTTAAAAACTTTAGAATACAAGATATTTTAGACTTTTATTGAGATGGTGACTTTAAATATCGCGATTATTTCAATTTTTTGGCAAATACGGTCGTGTCTATCGCAAAAAAAAAGAAAAAAAATATTTAAATTCTCTGTATAAGAGTCCAGACGGAGGAACTCCTCAAATAATTCATAAACTGCCAGAAGGCATATATTTGGCTGGTAACTAAAACTATTGTTTTATCTTTAATTATAGGTTGCCATATGGACCTGAAGTGGATATCTGGTCGTTAGGAATAATGATCATTGAAATGATCGACGGTGAGCCACCATTTTTCAATGAGCCACCTCTACAAGCTATGAGACGCATCAGGGATATGCCACCACCAAAACTAAAGAATTTTCATAAAGTAAGATCAATCATTTTTTAAATTAATTTTAACACAAACTCATCATGTCAGTAGACAATTGTAAGTTCTAAATTCAGAAAATGAGTAACGTATGTTCTTTATTTTCAGGTTAGTCCACGCCTTCAAGGTTTCCTTGAGCGAATGCTCGTGCGTGATCCAGCGCAACGGGCAACGGCAGCTGAATTATTGCAACACCCATTCCTTAGGCAGGCTCAAAGTCCTAGTATCTTGATTCCGTTAATGAGAGGCGCCAGACATACAAATTGTTGACGAGGTTACACCTTTGTAAGCTAGAACGTTAGTCAAGGCAGATATTTCATTACCAGAATAATCATATCCTCGACAATGTCGTGTTAAGCTACTTATTCGCTAAAGGCAGCTTTTGGCAGTTTATGAATTATTTGAGGAGTTCCGCCGTCTGGACTCTTATACAGAGAATTTAAATATTTTTTTTTCTTTTTTGCGATAGACACGACCGATTGAGAGATGATAATATTCGATAAAATTCACACGTATCAATGTTTAATACCGTATAATATTGACGCTTCAGAATTCTTTAATTATAAAACTGACATCATTTTCTGAAACTAAAGACAATAATATTATTCTATTATTCGCAGATTTTTAGATTTCTGCATAAAATTTCAAGTTCTAATACACATAAATGAATTCTTTCGGTCGTGCCTAATATACGTATGTAATATATGAATTTATAACTATATTTTAGAAAATATTAAATAGGAAAGTCTTCAAATCTCATGATCATTATCAATTGTTGTTTGAACTTTACATTCCAATCGGGCCTGAACTTGTAAGTATTATTTTGAAAATAGTTTACTACATTCCAGAGTATTGTTTTATATGTATTATTTTAGTAACTTGACAAGTCTGCATTTATGAAAAATGATATAATATATCAAACATTCCTCAACTATTGGCACTGCCGATGTTTGATTCGCGATAGTAAGATCAAACATTGTTAACAATGTTATAACAGATAATTCTCTAATTTTGAGATATTTGCAAAATGCATTTTCACTCAAGTGCCTTTATGATTAACACTATCGCAACGATTAACTTGTCATTATAAAGCACTATTTATTAGCAGTAATGGGTTTTAGGCATATTGAATTACTTTGAATATGACGAAAACCTAAAACTGCTTCATATTATTCCAAACGCAGATCTATACAGGGTGTAACATAAATGTGGGCCGCTATTTCAGAGGTGTATTCTATTCATCAAAATGAGCAAAAAAGTTCATGTAAATACAATTCAATTATTATTGTATATTAATTTCGATATTTGAATTTAATATCAAATATTAATTTTGATATTTGAATACTTCTAAAGGAAGTCTTTCTAGACTTTCTTTTTTAAATAATATTCAAAATAATTCGAATCTGTACGTAATCAAATTGATTCAAAGTTTTCAAGCAAGAAATTTGAATCCCCATTATTACTTATTTGTATAAAATGTTCCAACCATGCAATATTTTTTCACTATTACTGTCTTGCTAAATTTATTAAAAGCCATATTTAAAGTGACTTAATCAGTATACTTAATTTTATTTTTTCTAAATAAAAGTATCATATATATATATATATATATATATACACACCTTTTTGACCATATATTGTCAAAGATACACCTCAACTGTGAACTTTTGTAATATTGTATTTTTATTTTGCTAAAAAGGGTTAACTTTTGATCATCTTTAGAGCTTTAAAGACTGGGATATATATTTGATTATTAACTGAAATTAATATTGAAATAACTTGGCAGTATTGCAAAGAATGTCCAGAAAGTAATGTAACAAATCTTTTTTTCATTCGCAATTTATTAGTAGTAATAGTTGTAGTGTTAATAGTATGTAATAGTAATAGGGTAGTAATAGTAGAGTAATCGTAGTATTAGTATCTTTATTGTTTCCCTCAGGATTAAAGTGATTTCTATTTCCTTACTTAATTTACTCTAATTTATATAGACTAAGTTCAATTCAATTACAAATTCATAATTAACTTAATTGTTAAATTCTGTGTAAAAGAGGCATGCAATTGTGAAACAGATATGCAGTTCAATACATTACTGGCGTGCTTTGCTTAGACATTATTATTATTAGACGATCTTACTGAATGACCAAAAAATAACTTGTTTGTTCTTGATGCGTTGCGAAATAATATCAATTGACAGTACTGAAAATCTATAGTTCATATATACATTACAATTAGATTAAATAATCTATAGTTATGTAATCTATAAATTTTCAGTAAACAGTAGTATATTTTGGACTGCACTATGTTCTTCACGCAAACTCTAAATTTCATTTCAGCACCATTCTAAATATTTGTTACTAGAACGTACTTTTATGCATTACAATCAATCTATAAAATTCAGTGGCATATTCTGTTATACTGTGGTTAACTATTTTAACTCGTTGTTTTTTTAAATGTTAGATCTTCTCTAATTTCAGCAATCGCTCAATTTATTATATCTCACTTTTCATAGTTTATTCTATGATCTTTATAAATTTTTGTTTATTACATTTCTCTCCTTTTTGTTTTATATTTCTCTCCTTTTTTTTACTTTATTACGGTCGATTATCGCAACAGCAGTATTGCTGATGTCTCATACACATATTTTTCTTACTTTTGTATACTTGTCGGTCTTGTAAAATATCAAATTTGTATGTTTGTAATAAAGTTATTATTATTATTATCATAAGGTATTATTTTTGTCTAATAAGAATCAATTGGGAGAATAAGCATGTTGCATTACTTTCCGGGCATATTCTTTGTATAATATAACATTTACAAAGAAGAAACGTAAAAAAAACCATATGTGAGTTATAACTAAAACATGAATTGATATTGCCTTCATAAATATACAATATAGATAAATATTACACAGATGATATATATAAATAGTATTTTATTCCTAATAATTTTTTGAAAATTTGAAATTATATAGATATATTTACATTATTTTGTAACAGATTGTCACAGTTGATAAAATGGTATTCTTAGTGAAAGATATGTGATATTTTATTACAAATGATATAGTTATACGATATCATAATGTTCACTTTATGTAAACTAATAAATATTTAAATGATAGGAGTGAAAATTAATAAAAATGCAGTAAGGGACATTAAACGAATTAGTGGAAATATCTCCAAAATTAATTTACATTATACTGGATTAAACATACATTTTATTGCATAGCGCTACATTGATGAATTAACTGTGCAACTAAAGAGTTGCACATAATTAGATTATTGTTTAAACCAATACTATTTGAACAGGGTTACGTTATATCATTTTAATATCAATAATCTAATAAGTGTGAAATATGTTGTATGTAGATCCATATATATATATGAAAATATTTACAAAAATGCCTAATTTTGATAAGGAATTTACTATGCTTTTAGGTATATCATTAATGTATGAAAAAATGAAAAAGAGATCAGGAATGTTGTGAAATGGCCGAAGGCGAAATCATTATTCTTTTTTGTAATAAAACATGTACTTATTGTGTACATGTTTTATTTAAGATGTATATTCTGTCATCGTATTATATATATTTTTTGTACAATCGAGATTATTGCATAATTTAACTTGGAATTTTGTCTTTGTCGTTTGGAATTAAGTCTTACAACTTCTATTGCAGTTTAATTTACACACGATTAAAAAACATTATTATTATATTTAATATTTGTGCATCGGACTGTTGATATCGTATTTTCAACCATGCAATTTTTTCGGCAATTAATTGAAATTATTACGTACTATTTATTGAAAGAAATGCGTGATATACCAAATCTACCCATAGATTCAAGTGCAGCTAAATGATAGTCAACAGCTTTTTTTGAAGATATGTTTAAAACAACTTATTATCTGCAATCAACGTGTCAAACAGATCTGTCCGACCATACTCGCCATATATTTAAGTAATTATAACGTTATAAGGAAGTTATTTTAGAAAATCTATCACATCTTACATTACATTATGGATTAAAATTTTTTCTGTATACTATATCTAATAAAAATTCGAATTTTTTGTAGCGTGATCTGACTAAACAAACATGTTGGCAAACTGAAGCTATTGTGTGTAGTGTCCAAAAATTGATTGCGTATAAGTGCAGGATTATTTTACATATGTTGTACATTTATTACATAATAAAGAATCTATTTACAAAAACTCGCACGAATTTTTATAAACTTCAATATTTTTAATATAATTATCTCTCACGTGCCTTTGGAAAATTTTTAATACATTGTATTAATTCCTAAAGTGTTATTTGCGCGAGAAAAATTAATTTATAAATATTAAAATTACGCACTTATATTATAAATATTTTTTTAGTTATTATTTTAGTTATTGATTTTGTTATTATTTTTATAGGTACATTTTTGTTATGCTAGAGAGAAGCCTGAGAGAGGCCATCCTAGTCTTTTTCGTGGAATCGTCGGAAGCCTCTGTACATTAGCGCCAGTACCTACATCCATTTTCAAGAATTTTTTTGACTTACCTAACTCGATGCGCAACGGACGGAGTTATGCAGCCACGTAGCTACGATGATACTGTAACATACAAACATAAGATTCAATTTAAAAAAATGCTCAAAATAATCATTTCAAAAGATAAAATTTTTACGCGTCTCTAATTCGTCTTTTAATGAAATATTTAGCAATAATTAGTTATTTACCGAAAAAGATCTTTACTAGAGTAAAATTTTTAATAATTTCTCTTTCTTTAATTACGTCTAATTTATCGAGGTAAAACAATTTAAATAAATATAAACGAATTATATATGAATTTTATACAGATAAGAGATATGATGCTTACCCCAAGGTTGCTCCGCCGGTGCCCGATGTCTCTCCAAGACCTCCTCCTCCTCTCAGGACGTCAGGACTCCTCCTTCTTCTCCCGTCGCA